TCAGAGTTGGATATGCCTGAGCCACTAACACTTTGTGGTTTAATGATTTCATTTAGCAGTATGCTTATATTCCTTTCTTTTCAGTTTTTGTGTATTTGTTGTGTTCTTTTTTTTATTTGTGATTACCATGGGGTTCATATATGTTGACCTATATCTTCTTGTTTGAAACTGGCAGTCATATAAGTTCAAACACATTCTGAACATTCTACATTTCTATTCCCCTCCTCCATATTTTGATGTCATATTTTATATCTTCCTGTTTCATGTTTATCCCTCAACTGTTTATTGTAGTTACAGCTGCTTTCACAGTTTTTTGTCTTTTAATCTCCATACTGCTCAGTTAAGTGGTTGGTCCTCAGTCCTTACTCTGTATTTCTTCTCTGTAGGTTCTTTCTTCTTTTCCACTTAGAGAAAACCCATTAACATTTCTTTTAGAGTAGGTTTAGTATTGATGAAATGTTTCAGGTTTTGCTTGTCTGAGAAGTTCTTTGTCTCTCTTTCAGTTTTAAATGGTATCTTGCTAGGCAGAGTAGGTTGCAGATCATGCCACTCCCTTCTGGTCTTCATGGTTTCTGCAGAGAAATCAGCTGATAGTCTTATGGGTGGGGATTCTGTTTTCTTTTTTTCTTGCTGCCTTTAGAAGCCTCTCTCTACCTTTTGCCATTTTAATTATGTTATCTCTTGGTGTGGGTTTCCTTCAGTTCAACGTGTTTGGGGCCTCTGTGCTTCCTGTTCCTGGGTATCTTACTTCCTTCAGGTCTGGAGAGTTTTCAGCTGTAATCACCTCAGCTGCAGTTTTGATGCCCTCCTCTCTTCTGTCTTCTCCTATAATGTGAATGTTGGTTATTTAATGTTATTTAAGAGATTTCTTATACTGATTTCATTAAAAAAATGTTTTTCTTTTTGCTGTTCTGATTGGATGATTTACATTTTTCTGTCTTTCAGATCATGTATGTGTTCTTTTGTATCACTTAGTCTGCTATTCATTCCTTTTAGTGTGTTTCTTTTTCTTTTTTTGGCAGCTATTGAATTCTCTTCAGATTGGGTCTTTTTAAATATTTTCTAGTTCCTTTTTAAAATTCTCACTATGTTCAACTATGCTTTTCCCTAAATTCAGTTAACATTTTTATTAACAGTGTTCTGAATTCTTTACCTGGTAATTGTTTATTTCTGTTTCATTATTTGTTTTCTCAGGGTTTTTTTTTCTCTTGTTCCAATTGAGAGCAGTTCCTCTGCATTTTTATTTTGCTTAACTTTCTCTGTCACTGTGAATTTAGGTGAAACATTTACCTCCTGTGGTCTTAAAGGGGTGTTCTGATGTGGGAGCATCCTTATACAGACTGCATGTGCCCAGTGTCTCCACTCCAGCAGGGGGTTGGGCTGGAGCTGGGTGTGAGGCAGACCTTGCCCCTGCCCAGTGGCCGGCACCCTGCTGGGACAGGATCTGATCCAAGTTGCTGGAGGCAAGGGTCGGCGGGGCTGGCTCTGTTCCCTGTGGGTGTGTGTTCTCCCCTCTCCCCGCGTTGGAAGCCTTGCCCCAGAGCCGGGAAGTACTGACCACAGTGGCGCCCATGTGGACCCTCTGCAGGCAGAGGTCTGAGCTGTCTGCCCAGCGGAGCTGCACTTGTTCCCTTGCTCTGCTCACACACAGTCTCACGTACATGGCCCCCTTGCCCCTCACAGCCCATCACCATGCCCAGCCTCCACCAGCTGTCTTGTCATGGGGCCACCCTGCAGGGTCCCTGTGTGGGGTTGTGTGGAGTCTCTGTGTGTATCCTGCGGAAGCTGTGGGGTAGAGGCTGCCATCAGAGTTCTAGGCTCCTTCTGATGCGCCACTTGAGTAAGTGCCAACCATGACTGCTGCCAACACCCATGCTCCGCCCCAGGCCCGGGTTGCCCCTGGACACTGTGCAGTGCCGCGTCGTCCTGCTGGAGGACGTGGAGTGGAGGGAGGTGCGCGCCCAAGCCGGGAACCTGGCAGCCACTAGAGCACTTGGCCAGCCGCCCCCTCTGCCCTGCTCTCCTTGGGGGGTACACAAGCCAGCACACTCACACAGACACACACTCCCTCCCTCCCTCTTTCCCATAGCCCTCCTGCTAGTTCCACCTGCCCTCATGTCAGCCTTGGGTGGTTCATTTCCCCCGGTTACGACCCCAGGGGCTGCAGCATCCCCTGAGGCTCTCACCGTTCACTCCCTGGGATGGGTCTCTGCCCCAGTGTTCTCCCTCTTCCTTGAGTCCCCTCTCAGGGGCACAGGTGCTGACCTGATCGCTTTTTTTCCTGTCCTACCCAATTACATGTGGATCTCTCTCACAGCCTTGGTTGTACAGGAGTTTTTCTGCCAGTTTCCGATGAGAATTATTCCATGTACAGACGTAATTTTGATCTGTTTGTTGGCAAGGAGTGAGTTCCATGTCTTCTTACTCTGCCACCTTGATCGATCCGCCTTGCCATCCATGCATCATCTTTGGTGAATTGTCTGTGAAAATCTTTTGCCCGTTTTAAAATTTGGATTATTTCATTATTAAGTTTCAAGATTTTCCTATATTTACAAGTCCTTTTCAGATACTTTTTCTCTCTCAGGATGTGATTTTTCATTTGTCCAACAAGTATGTTTTGAAAAGCAAAAATGTATTTTGATGAAATCCAATTTATTGATGTTTGTGCTTTTCTGACATAGATAAGAAATCTTTGCCAAGTGAAAGTGAAAGTCACTCAGTTGTGTCTGACTCTCTGAAACCCCATGGACTGTATAGTCCATGGAATTCTCTAGGCCAGAATACTGGAGTGGGTAGCCTTTCCCTTTTCCAGGGGATCTGCCCAACCCAGGGATCGAACCCAGGTCTCCCCCATTGCAGGTGGATTCTTTAACCATCTGAGCCAGTAGGGAAGCCCAAGAATACTGGAGTGGGTAGCCTAGCCCTTCTCCAGGGGATCTTCCTGACCCAGGAATCAACCTGGGGTCTCCTGCATTGCAGGTGGATTCTTTACCAGCTGAGCTATCAGGGAAGCCCAAATCCAACATCAAATCTTATTTCTCTTTAGTTTTAGAAGTTGTGTCATTTTAGCTTTTACATTTAGGTCTGTGATCCACTTTGGTTAATTTTTTTTTTTGGTTAATTTTTAAATATGGTGTGAGGAAAGGATTGAGGTTCATTGTTTTGCCTGTGGCTTTTATTCTAGCAACATTTGTTGAAAAGTTTATTCAGATGGAGAAACTGTTGAATTTCCTTGGCCCTGTTTTGTTCTGTTGATGTTTGTCAGTCTTTACATCAATAAAACCCTGTCCTGATTACTGTAGCTTTATAGTAAGGCTTGAAATCAGGTATTATAAGCCCTTCATCTTTGTTGTGCCTATTAGTAGTTATTTGAGGTATTGTAGGTCCTTTGCATTTCCATATGTAGTTTAGAATGAACTTGTTAATTTCAACCAAAAAGCTTTTTAGGGATTTTGATTGTGATTGCATTTTATCTTTGGATCAATTTGGGGCGGGGGAGAACTGATACCTTAATAATGCTGAGTCTTCTGACCCACAAACGTGGTATCTCTCAGTGTATTGTGGTCTTTAGTTTCTCTCAGAAATGTTTTGTGGCTTTTAGTGTACGTATCATGCACGCTGTAATTATCACCCTCTCTGTTACAAGGTTATCATCTTGACATATACTCGAGGACCATTTTAATTTTCTTTTTGGGGAATTATCTATACTCTTTACTCTGTTTCATATTGTTTTTTTTTAATTGATAAAATCTGTGACATGAGTTGTAAATACCTTTTTCCCAGTTTAACATTGTGTACATTGGTTTTTTGCTAAGTATAAACTTTGATTTTTATGTAGTCAAATTTATTTTTTCTATTTTGGCTTCTGGAATTTGTGTCATGCTTAGATTTTCCTTGTTTTCCAGAGAATTCCTTACCACAGTTTATTCTGATATTTTAGGGTTTCATTTTTACATGTAAATCTTTGATTCTCTTCAAATTTATCCTTGTAAGAAGATGTGAATTGATTCAAATCATTTTCCAGGTGGCTCTCCATCTGGAAAACACTGTTAATAGATTTGAGGTTCTAACTTCATTGTATTAAATTTCTGTGGGTTTTTAAGTCTTACTTTTGAACTTTCTGTTCTTTTCTATTGACTCATTTATTTATGCTCCAGGATCACACCATTTTAATACCTGGTTTAGCTAATCTCCTCTCATTGGGATAGGAGGAATTTCTTAACCTGCAGTCCACGTGCAGAGCTTGTAGGGGACAGAAAAAGTCCACGAGTCTAGTGAAATTCTACTTACAATTTTGGGTATACAGTATATGTGTATGATGTCTTTTCAGGGAGAAATCCATAGGTTTCATTAGATTCTCAAATAGGTCTATGACTCAAAAAATGTCAAACCCCAGATCTAAAAAAGTGTTTGAGCCATATACCTGTAAGGCAATCCATGAATGTTCTTTTTATAGTCATGTTTCTTTATGAATGAGATATAAGTAATTGCTCGTACACACACTGAATAATATCTGGAAGATACGTAAGAAATTGATAACACCAGTTGTCAAAAGTTGGGAACTAGTGGTTTAGAAACAGTGGGAAGGAGACTTCATTATTATATCCTTTTGTATCTTTGATCTTTATCCACATGATTGTATTGGCTTTTCTTTTAAAAAGGTGACTCAACATTTAAAAAATTAAGGTGATGAATTGGACAACTCTTCCATGTTGTCCCAAGAATGAGTTCTGTGGTGGGAGGGCTTGGTCATTTACTACTGGCTTTTTTATATTACAGAACACAATGCTAGACTTCTTTGTTAGAAGGTAACCTAATAAACAACTTCTTTGCTAGGTTACCTTCCAAGCCACTGTTAGATATACCACTTCTAAGCCAGATTTTTTTTTAAACAGTAAAAAAAATGAACTTGTAAGGTGGTTGTGTAGATTGTTAGTATATGTAAAACACCTAGTACAAATGTTAGTTTCTTTTTACAACATAATCTTTTCTCTCTCCAGGGAGTCTGAAGATACAGTATTGCTGGTTCTCAAAGAAATCTACCAAACCCAGGGTGTCTTCCTTGATCAGCCTTTACAGTAAAAATGAACCACCTAAGGCTGCTTAATGTAAGTTTTTAAATGTCATATATGTAGCATTGTTCCTACATATTAACATGTGGAGCCTCAAAAGCTGCTTGGAAATGTACTTTTTGTTGCTTGTCACCAAGATCTAGGTTATTACTCATTTTTAGAAGGACTCTGGTTAAAATTCATGGGAAAAAGCACTGGAGGCCATTTAGAGAAAGGTTAGCATGTGTTTTGCTAGCAACTTGGTCCAAAAACACTTGTCATTTTTAGGATCTAAACTCAGACTCTTCATGGTTCTGACCATCTAAGAGTTACCATGACAACATTTCAGCTTTAAGTACATATAGTCCATTCTGGGATTTACATTGTTGTTGTTGATCAGTCACTAAGTTGTGTCCAACTCTTTGTGACTCCATGTTCTGCAGCACACCAGCCGCCTCTGTCCTCTACTCTCTCCTGGAGTTTGCTCAGATTCATGTCCATTGAGTCAGTGATGCCATCTAACCAACTCATCCTCTGCTGCCTCCTTCTCCTTTTGATTTCAATCTTTCCCAGCATCGAAGTATTGGAGCTTCAGCATTAGCCATTCCAGTGAATATTCAGGGTTGATGTTCTTTAGGATGGACTGGTTTGAGCTCCTTGCAGTTACAACAGTTTCAGCTTTCAGTACAGACAGCCCAGCCTAGGATTTACATTACTCAGCCCTGTATATATATATTAATAGTTAGAAGCTTGTGTATCAGACTCTGGTGTTCTCTCTGGTTGCCTTCAGCGTGATGACCTCTCTTCCACTTTCTCCCCTAGATGGACACTGAGGAATCCTTCCCCAGAAAACCCGCCTCTCTGTTCCTGCGTTTTCCTCTCAGCTGTGTCATTCCCTGCATGTTGCCTGCTACTTACTCACCACTAGGGTCTCTGGAAGATAATCTTCCTCTCTGGAAGCAAGTGGAAAAGCAAAGGGAAGACCCTGTTACTTTTTACCACTGGCTTCACAGAAACATTCGCCATTCTTTCTTGATGGCTGTGGGTAGTCTGCATCTTTAATTCTCTGATGGTATTTACGTACCACACTCTTTGCTTATTACTTGAGATGGCATAAGGCTTGCCTTGAGTTTGTTTTGGGTTGGGTGTAAATTTTTCTAGGAGGTTACTGTTTAGAGAATATTCTAATCTGGTAGTGAGTTCCTGAGACTCAGAAGCCATTCTGGGTCTGCTTATGGTCATGGGTGTTCTCTGCGTTTGAAGGCCAGATCTAAGTGGAGGAGGGAGACTGGTGGGCAGTCAGATTCTTTCCAGCCAACTTCTGTTTCCCACACGTACTGTTATGAAGAAAGACTAAAATTATAAATACTGTTTACTTATAGTTGACTGACAAGATTTATTGCTAGGACTCACAGAGGCTGTTCATTGTTTTTACAGCTATTTGAGCTGCTCTAAGAGTCTAAAGTGGACAGTTTAGTTTCCATCAGGTACATCTTTATAAAGATATTATATATCCTAGACCTGCCCTTTTATATCGTATCATACTTCAAACTGGGAGACTCTAGATGAAGTCCAACCTAGTTATTTGTTAGTTCTTAAGTTTAAAGTTATAAACGCTGAAAAACCTGCAGTTACACAGCTCTGACTGCTTATGAAGTGATGAATAAAAACTTCTAGTGGTGTGTTCATGGTGGAACAACTTGTAAAAGCCATCTGCCACATCCACTTGTGTGAAGGGAGTGTTGAAGACTGTTCTCTTCAAACAGATGCTGTCGCCTCTGAGTCCCCGCAGAGCAGGGAGCAAATGGACAGGCCTCGGCACAGGCAGTGCCGGGGGAGGGGTGGGTCCACCCCGGGGATCCTGGCTCTGTGGGGCCCGGAACAGCTGCTGCAGAGGCAGCGTCCGAGTGTGCAGGTGAGGTGGGTAACGTAGACCCCCGGCATTTAACGTTCACATCGGCCATCTCTGTGACAGCAGAGGGAATGTTACGATCACGCTGGAGATGAGGCTGGGGTACTGCTGAGGGCCTGGCCTCTCCGTGTCCGTCTGCTTACAGACTGATGCTGACCAGGCCACTAAGACGTTTCAGCTCTATGAAATGCTTTATTTACTACATAAACTCCGAGGCCGAAATAAGGGTTACTGAGAGTTAAGTAGCATTCAATGTAAAGGGGAAGCTTTCATCAAGTTGTTCTCAAATTTACTCTTCCTATTGACAGAATAAGTAAATTGTAAGAGTAAGCCAAAGGACAAGCAAGAGTGAGTCCCTGTAACCAAAGATGAACAGCATCACCCCAGATTGTTAGATAAACCACTGTCTGTACTAAGAAGTGTTTCCTTCTTGGTGGTGAAGGGCAGGTGACTGGAAAAGAGCTTTATATCCTGTGTATCCCCCTGTGTTGGTATCATGGATGCATCTTACACAGGGTACTAAGCTTGACTTAAATTTCTTATTCAGTTGTATATTTTTTGCACTACTTCAGTTGTATCATGTGCAATCTCTTGACCAAGCCTATTTTTAAACTCTGGTAGAGTATCATTTTATACATATTTCCAGCTGCAGAATTGGTATTGCTTATCTCAGCAAGAGAGATTGTTTGCATGGAAAGATTAATAGCACTGATTAGCTTTCTAATATTTTGCACTTTTTGAAATGTTTGTTTTTTATGTGATTATATTTAAAACTTTAGTAAATACTGAAATAAAACCAATTTGACCAGTTGCCTACTTCTACCTGGCTCGTCCATCAAAGACCAAAGAGAATCAGTACAATAACCATTTTCTCCTCCCCTCTGTGTTACTAAAACAAATTTTAAAAAAGTACTGGGCAAAGAACTGACATTCGGGTTCTTTTCCCCTTGACTGTTAAACTACAGTGATTATAAGGTAAATATTGAGAGCTCTTTGGTATTATTAACATCAGCCACTGCTGGAGACAGTTGAGTCACTTATGTCAGATGGGGACTCCAGTGTTTAACTTGAAATGTTTCAGTTCTCAAATGGAACTTTAAGTGCAAAGCCCACATTCACCATTTTATTTGCATATTGCATTTACATAAGGAAAAAGGTGCACTGAAAATGTTACTGAAAGAAATAAAAAACAAGGTCCTATTAAAGTGTGATCAGCATAAAGAGAAGGGTAGTTTCAGGTCCTGTGCATCAGTTCCGACCATGTCCCGTAACTGTTCCTCATGGCCCACTGGGGACAGGACAGGAGATGCTGGCCTGTCCTCCAGGTAAGTCTCTGAGCACCCTCTCCCGCCTCAGCCATGTGGCAGGGTGGGTGCGTTCACACAGGTCTGCAGCCATGACTGCAGGCACGGCGGCTCGTGAGCTGGGTTCAACACCGGTGGGGCCGGAACCGGCATCCGCTGTTGGTCCTGAATCGATGCTCCTGACCGTTTCCTTGTTTACTGTGTTTACTCAGTAAGTCAACAAATTATCAAATCACTTATATTCACAGAATTCAGAAGGGACAGCACTATTTAGCTGGACTTGGATAAGCATAACAGTGGTAAATTAGTCAGAATTGGACATTTTCCTATTTCAGGTGGGGAATTGTCCCACCAGAGAAAGTAAACCGAAGTAAAATAATTTAATTGCTCATGCCCTGGATTTTAAGATTCTGAGCTATGGAAAGTGGAAATTAAGTTCTGGTAATCAATGCTAGTGTCTAGGATAAAGTGAGGCTAATGTAAACGGTTCTTTGTGACAAAATCCTTCTAAGAACCGTACTGAAGTTACATGTGGAAACACTGGATCTTGGGATGCCAGTCCGCTGGGCCAGCCTCGTACGCTGTTGGGGGACTGTGCGTGGCAAACAGTAGTGCAGAAGGACCTCAACCCCTCTCGATGAATCCCTGGGCACCAGGGCGAAACTGCACCAGCCTGTGGGCCTCTGTCCCCACCTGTGTCTCAGGAGGTAAAGGTCAGACATTCTTATCCTGGGCGTGGGGGGAGAGGAGGGCCGATGGGCCTGTTCTCCGGGGAGGTGGCTCCAGTGTCTAAACACAGAAAGGCTGCGGGCCGCGGGGCTGCTTCTGCGTGGCGGGAAGAGCAGGGCCGAGGGGCAGCGGCCTGTGGCACTCGGCGTCCGTCAGCGGAGGGTAGTACTGCCTGTAGCAGCTGTACGCGAACGTCAGGCCGATGGCGGAGCCAGCCAGGACGTCTGAGTGGAGACAGAGGAGACCGCCTTCCCTCACTCACAAGTCGTGCTTGCCGGTGAGGGAGCTTGACCCGCCAAGGCTACTCGTTTAGCCTGCAAAACCCCTGCATTCCAGGGTTACGGTTTTGGGGGATTTTCTTAGTTTTATCATATAGCTGCACTATTGTCATTATCAAGCTGTTCCCTTAAACACCAAATCAAAACACATCTTTAGTTAGGTAAGTATAACAAGACATTTTCTGAGTTCACTACATTGAGTTATTTTAGTTTGGAAGAATAACAGGTTCATTGAATACTATGAAAAACCCCTCATCACCATTCAAAGGGTTCTAGAGGAAGGAATAAACTCTTCAGGAGTTGCCTCTCTTGGCAAAAATTTAGTTTATCCTTCAGAACAGCTCCTAAGGGCCTCGAGCTAATACTGTCAGCTTTTTTTTTTTTTTTTTTTAATTTTGGGCATTCTCTGCAGATACTCTGTAATTTGGATGTTTTACTATATCATTCAACTTAAATTTCTTTGGTTTAATTACAATTTTATGTTTTTTAAATTTTACTTCCATTACTGAACAAAAACCTTGACAGTGAAGTTGATTTTTAAGATAGTAAACTGAACTTTGAGGTTGGTTGTAAAAAATTTCTTAAGAGTTTTTTCTGAACTTATGATGCTTCAAAGTAATGGGAAGATTAGGATGTCCCTCTTTGGTAATCTGTTTAAAAGATAACAGTGAAAAAAAAAAAGAACAGTGTGCTTTCCCATTTTCCATGTAGCAATAAGCCACACACTCAGTTCAGATCCAGACCATCCTCCATGCATTTGTCTGTTCACTCAGCAGATACCTGGGGGTGTGTCCCAGGCCACGTGTGGGGGACAAATGACAGGAGAACCATGGTGGGTCCAAGGCCTGGACGCCTCACTTACCCTGCCAGTGATGCTTGTAGTCACAGGTGCGGGACAGTGCAATCACAGCTGCAAAGAGTAGGGGTGACAGAAACGAACAGAATCTCCAAGATTTTCCTCGGCCTCGTGGTGTGAAGCAGTGTAACTTCCCCGCCAGATAGAAGGATGCGAAGGCCAGGCTGGCAAATGCAACTAGAAGAAGGAAAACCTCTTAGTATTTGTCTTTTAAAGGAAAAGAAGACAGGGTTATGAACATGTTCTTAGCCCTTTTTGTAGCTTCTGGTATAGACCACTGATCGTGACTGTCAGTTATGAGGGAGGAGAAAACAAGGGAAAATGAAGGATTATGTCCCAAAGTGAGTGACATTTACCTGGAAAGGAGTTTTTGGAATCCTAGCGATGGGACTTCACTTCCCATTGCCTCTGTTTCCTCGTATATAAATGGGGATCATAAAAAACCCATCTCATTGGGCTAATATGCTGTCAAATGAGACACGAATCTAAAATGGTTTTGGAAGTACCTGACTATATAGTAACTCTTCCATAAAGGTTGGTTAATATTTTTATGACTAGCATGAGAGACTGCAGGATTTAGGCAGATAATACAGTAATAACTTTCAAATTTCATGAAGGGAAACTACTTCCTCTGTCCTTAAATGTTTAATACTTGAGGTTCAAGCTTGTTAAAGGGGGGACCTCTGATTTCTAGATACAAGAACAAGAGTGTGTGAGATGTTCCCATCCTCACAAGTTCCCTTGGGTTAAATTCAATGATTAAAAAAAAAACAAACACAGACGTAGAGTTCACATGGTATTCATACAGGACGAGTGGCCACTGGGGAAGCTCTTACGGCCCTCGTTCACCACGGCCTTGTCTCCCGAGCACGCCAAGTCTCCATGGGCTTGTCCATCCGGGAAGCAGCGGTAGAAGAAGTCTGGGCGTGGCCTGAAAGAAATACGCCAGGTCTGAACGTGGATCATTCACAACTCCAGAAATTGTTCTTCCCTTGTATTAGACATCGATTAACCTATTAACTGTCAATCAAATAGCATCCCAGGCAAAACAGTGAAACTGGAGTGGATAGTCACCACTAAGAGAAAAACCTTATTTTTTCCAAGGTTAGTATTTAAATCAGAAAAAGAAAAAAAGGCTGCTGCAGCACATAATTACTTGTTAGGGGAAAGAGTCAGTCACGCTGCAGCTTCCTCAGGGTGCTCTGGAGGACACGCTCTGTGGCACTGGGAAATGTGCTGTCTGGGCGGAAAAGAGCCCGAGAGTCAGAGGGGGACCGAGGCAGAGGGAAGGGAGGACGCGTTAAGAGAGGAGGCTTGGGAAGATGCAGCTGGGGCTGCGTGACCGCCCTCTCCTGACGGGGGAGGGCTGACGGCAGCTCGGGCACTCACCTCCCCACTATCAGTTTGATCGTGTTGGTGAAGACGCCATTGAGGGCCAGGGCCAGGCTGGCCGCTGCAATGCAAAGAAACTCACTGTCAGTGGGTCTGCAGACGTCCCTGCCTCGTTCAGCACAGCCACAGGGGACACTGTCTCGTGGGACAGCAGAGTGGTCGGCCTCCAGTCAGACTGGAGCATAAAAAGAACGCGGGCCTTGGTGGCCACTGCGGTGCCACAGGGGGGAGTCTGGCCTAGCCTGAGGACGCGCCGCAGGTGCACACACTGCTGTGCCCACAGGTGTACCCGGGAGGTGACCCACAGCGCACAGGGAAAAAGCGGGGTAGAGGGGAGACAGAGTCACCTCAGGGGCTCGCAGCACGTGGCCTCCACACACTGAGGCCACCAGCTCCATGGGGGGGGGGGGGGGCTACGGCAGAGGACGGGGGGCACTCTTACCCAGGCAGGCCTGCCGGCTGTCGGCTGCGTCCGCCTTCTTGAGACACCTGGCCAAGAGGACGGGAGCCAGCGGGGCGAGGAAGGCGATGACCTGCACGGGACACAGCGGAGCTGAGCACACGAGAGAACAGAACCAGCTTGAAAACACAAAACCTCCGACAGCAAGAGGGGCGGAGTGACAGCAGAAGTCACACACCAGACCTGAACTGCTCCCCTGCAGGGGTGGCGTCCAGGGTCCGCCTGCGGCCCCCTGGGCCCCGAGCTCCCCCGGCCGCCCTGCGCACTGCCCCCAGCACGTGTCTCCCGAGCCAAAGCGGAGGGACATCCGCTCTCAACCCCGCCGAGAAGCACGGCGACGCGAAGCCCGGTCTAGCACTGAACTCCCCATAAATGTCGCTGCGGAGCCGGGATGACCGCCCACGCCCTGAAAGCGCGGTCAGAAGGCAGGCTGGTCCTCCACGCACAAACATCGGCTTGGTGGGGAGATACTCTGCCTCCACGTACGGATTCCGGTAAAGCCACATCTCCTCGGGCTGGATGAGCCTCTGGAAGGGCGGCAGCAGCTCCGTCACCCTGAAGGGGACACAAAGGAGCGGAGCGTCGGCGGCTTCCGGCAAGCGCGCGCGGAACCCGGCCGGGTCCCGGAAAGGAGGGTGGGGGGCTGAGGGCCCAGGCCCGGGGTCGGGGAAGGGGGCAGAGCTCAAGTCCTTACAGGAAGGCCGCGAACAGCGCGAGCCGCACGCCCACCTCGGCCGCGAGAGACGCCACGGCCACCTTCCCCTTGCCCATCGCCTGGTGCGCGCTCAAGGCTGACGTGGCAGCGCCGGGGGCGGGGCGCCGCGCGGGAGATGGGCGGGGCGGAGGGAGGAGTCGTTCCCTGCGTGTCTCTCCACCCGCCCTCCCACGCCGCCCCGACGCTTCGTACTCACTCGGCCTTTGCTCCCGGGAAGCGCGCAGAGTGCGCGTTTCCTGTTGCTGCGTTGCCAGGTTCCTTAACGTTTTCCGTGGCTCCGCTAGACCTGGGCTGCAGGGCCCACCGGCCAACCCTGCCCTGGTCCCCTCCCGCCCAGGTTGGCCTGTTGGTCACTGAGTTGTAGCAAGAAGTTGTGACAATGAACAAGTCCATACATTTAATTTTGGAACATACAGGACAATTTATTGAAGTCAATCTCAAGCAAAATCGGAAATCAGTGGAATGTCATTAAAAATCTTTCCAAATTA